GAGAGAGAGAGAGAGAGAGAGAGAGAGAGAGAGAGAGAGAGGGGGGGGGGAGATCAAAGTCACCAACAGAATTATCTGATACGGCATTGTATATAAGTCAAGATTTACATCAGCCGGTCTCTCCAAGATTTCCCAGAGAACTCTGTAAAGTTCATTGTGAAAAGAATTGCATCTGACAAACCGCACAGCTACAGCACATAACGTTTTTTCATTTACATGCAGATCAACACAATCCTAAAAGAAATGGTTTCCTGCTGTGGACTTTCTAGATGCAGGTTTGATGTTACTTGTGCATGGGGAATCACAAAAAAATTGCCAACAAAAAGTTCATCTTCGTCGTAGTCATCTCTACCGCTCCAATCACAACCACCCCAGCCACCATCACCACCATCGTCATCATTGTCATCCTTCCCTTGTCATCTGTGGTCGCTGGGGGACCCTTGGGCAGAAGAAGCTGAGGTCGTTCTCCATGCTGGTCTGTCTGCAGCTTGTCGTAGTCACCCCGTCCATTCTTTCACATTATTCGACCAAGTCTTCCGCGTCCTGATCCCTCGGCGGTGCCCTGCATAATGGTCTTGCAGAGGCTATGATGTCGACACGATAGCCTCCGCAAAAATGTTAGCAGATCAGACATAAAAAATCTCAATTATTGTTGTGTGATTTTCATAATTAACGGAGTTTCACATTGATTTTAGTTGGATCTGACAGTCAAAGATTTCAGAAATCGGGATGGTTCAGGGATGTCGGACCACTGACGATGTAGGATGCAAAGCATGACCTCCTTGAACATTGGATGTTTGGCTCCATACAGCAATGGGTTTATAGCACTGTTAGCAAACAAGAAAATGGCACCGTACAGGAAGAGGTTGTCTGCCCCCAGCATGATGAAGAGGCAGTTGGGCAACGGGAGAAGGAAGCAGACGCAGGAGACGACGAAGAGGTTCTTGGTGATTTGAATCTGATGCTTCTGGATGCGCTTCTTGCGGTTGGTGTCGGTGTTGACGCTGACCATGGACTTATTTGGGCCGGGTTCTAGGGAGCTGGTGGTGGTTGAATATCGAAAGCTGGAGCAGGCTTTCCGTTCTTTCCTGAAGTGGCGCCGGATGAAAGTGTAGACGATGCCGTAACAGATGAGCGTGATGGTGAGAGGACCCGGGTAGAGGACTCCAGCCAGTAAGGACTTGTACAGGCTTGATGTTGGATGGTCGCTGTCGTCCAGACACACATGGATGTTTTTGTTGTAGCTGAGACGCCCTACACCAGTCGCCAGTAGGATCGTCGTCAAGAGGATCGGAAGAAGCCAGATGGTAGCCAGCATGGGCACTAGTGTGTAGGCTGTGTAGATCTTTTTGTAGGCGGTGACATGCTTGGTGATCAGGAGCATGCGATTGACAGCGATGGCTGCAATGCTGAACATGATGACCCCAGCTGAAATGGGCGAAAGAAAGGCCACCATCAGGCACAGGTTCTCGACCGACTGGGGCAGGTAGCCGCGAATCAGCACGATCGCGGCATTCATCAGAGCGCAGAGGCACATCAGGAGGTCGGCCACGCTGAGATTGGCCACGAAGACGTTAGTGACGGTCTGCAGCCGGCATGACAGGGCCACTGCCATCAAGACAACGACATTTCCTGTGACTCCAAGGAGGGAGATGATCAACACAGAAATAGACACAAACACTCTCCCACCGTAGGTGTACAGGGAGGTGTCATTAGACACTTGTAAATCACTGGTGTTGTAAGGCTCCGTGAGTAGCGGCAAGGAGGTTGTACTGTTGAACAACGCCAACGAGACGCTGATGTTGATGAAAGTATCAGAAACTAGCGACACAGAGGGGGTGTTGTTATGCGCCATTATTTCAATGCAATCGTTGCTCTCCTGAAGAAAGTTACGCTGCTGAACTTGTCAAAACAATTTAAGGATACCAGACCAGACGGAATGCTTGTAAATATCTGCTGTTTCGTGCTGGAGCATGAATCCACTATTTGTTTCCTTATGGAAAATGAATCATGCGTTAGCACAGATAGCAATTAGTTTGAAACCGACTTCCTGGTTATTTTGGTTTAATGCTTTTTCTGTCGCTATATTGTTTTTCTCTCGGGCCTTTCACAGAATTCATCAAGCTGGGCCAAATTACCCAAGAGCCACACAGGACAATCACTGTGCCTAAAGGCCTACATCTAATAGGGGGGACGAAAAATCCGCATTTGAAAGCTTTGTCGTGTCTTTGCGAATTATGGATTTTTAGAAAACTGAGCATAATAAAATCGACACCCAGGCTTCCGACACTCAGCCCTGTGAAATAAGTGCTGGAGTGCTGCTGCCTACCGCCTCGAGCAGAAGCACCCCCTCAACG